CGTTCCAAACGAAACTGAACAAATGAATCCCTTCATGAAGGGCCCTTCCAGAAGTCCGTTAGCGAAGGGAACATGCAATGGTCACTTCACAGAAGTGATTTCCATTTGTGATCATATGATCTTCGGTTAGGAGAATTCAATAACATTGTTAAAGGGGACATAACACACACAGTTTCACCCAATCTCATGTTAATCTTGAGTACCTATAGAGTCGTACTGCATCCTTCATATCTCCAAAAAGTCTTTAGTTTTATCATATTTATAAAAGAAAGATACAGCTTTACGATTCTCTCCGGAAAAAGCCGAGCTTCTGGAGGCGCGTTATGGGCGGAGCTAAAGAGTGACGAGCACTTGGGCGCCTAATGCCAACAAAACAGACATTTGATGCCGTTTCACTTCCCGTCTGCAGTTCTGAATCATGACCGGGATCTTTTATCACTGGGACCGCTCCATCAGTATCAAACGATGTGCAAATCCAGCGTCGAACTGGGCCTTGTTTATAAAACGTTCGTCAACAAACACACTTGTGAAACTCCGTTGCTGCCCCGGAAATCAAACTGTATCCACTGTTTACATAACGCTGGGTTCTTTAGGAAGCTGAACAAAGTTATCTTTCCCTTACAACCAAAAACACACTTTGGAGACATTCTTCCCGAGCGAGTCCCGCCGGATGAAGCGCGTTGATGGGCGGCTCTTGCTCTGGCTCTGGTCGATGCGTGCGCGGGTGTGTTCTTCCAAATGCCCATATAAGGAGTTCCACCCTTGTCTACGTCATGAAGAGCGACGATCGAAAATATGTCCAAATTGTTTTTTGAAACTTTGTCCATGCTTAGCATGAGAATCCAACTCTTTAAGAGTGTAAACATCTCTGAATGCATGAAACCGCATTGTTTTCCAAACGTTACTACTTGTTTCAGATGGCTCTACATCCAAGTGTCACGTTCTCGTGTTTGCAAAATGCTGAAGTTGAACATGCCCTTAATATTTAATCTAACATTGACATAACAAGGAAAACAGTGTTTAAACCTTTAAAAACTGGATGTTTCAAATGTTCTGAGAACATTCCGAAATTCATAACTTAATGGGAACATTTATTTGTTAGCTGAATCAAAGGGTGTGGCGCTTGCAACACCAAGGCAATGGGTTCGATCCCCAGCTAGGGAAAACACTTATTTTTGAAAGTATCAAATGCATGACTGTAACTGTAAAGGTGCAGTCACATTAGCGGAATTTCGTAGAAATTTTGCGGGCAAAAAAGTCCATTGTCTATTGTCAACAGTGAACCAGGTGCAAGATCTGTTAGGGGGAATCTTTGCTCTCACGCGAAATTCCCTCTCCATGGATTCTTTCGCCCGCGAAAATCTTCCGAAAATCGGTAAACATGACCGCAGCTTGATAGAGTTGACTGGAGAACTGGGAGGAGATCCAGCGTTTAAGCGGCCGTAGGGTTCGGCTCGTGTGTGCTGGACTTACGCCGAGTACGTGCGCGTTCGTTTGGTGGGCAGAGGGCTCGGTAACTCCCCGGGCTGCAGCGCGCCTCGCTCCCAAACGCGGCTACCTTCTCGCAGGAACGGGAATGACAGCGACAGCAGCGCCGAGCGCGGAGACCGCAGAGACGGGTCCGCCGCGGAAGACAGCTCCGGTTCCGCCATGGACACGGGCACGGGGTGCGATGCGAAGATTTGGGTCAGTTTGCTCTCTGAACTCCAGATGCTTGCAGAAGACGACCTGCGAGAGAAACACTCACAAAACTCACATCAGATCCAACGCGTTTTCTCCCTGCTGCAGCTTTCCCTCTGACGCGTCAAACAGTGCGTTTATTGACAAACGCTCCGCTGGCGCACATTGCTCTGTTTTTCATTTGCAGTGGAGCGACGTGCAGTAAAACAGCTTCTGCGCTGACATTTAGTCTGTGCTGCACAAAGCCACTGTCTGTGTGTGTGTGTGTGTGTGTGTGTGTGTGTGTGAGAAAGAGAGTTTACATTCAAGACGGTTTGTGCCCGGGGCGCGAGTGCTGCGCGCCCGGTTCCTCATGCACAAAAGCCTGCATTGTCTTCAAAGAGGCTTTAAAGGGGTCATATGATGCTGCTAAAAAGAACATTATTTTGTGTATTTGGTGTAATGAACAACTTAACCACTGATTTGTAGTCGTGTCCTCTTTTGGAAGACCAAACAAAGTAGTTTCGCTTTCACAACGAAACACAGCGTCTCACACAGGCCTAGAGTGAGCAGAGGCGGCGGATTTGACGAAGGTGCGGCTGGCTGGCCTGCGGCAACCACATGTGACGACCCCGGGCTGGACTCCACTTACGCATCATATGACCCCTTTAACACAAGGAGCCGTTCTGAGATCAGACTGAACTGTGCATCACTTGTGCTGACCGATCGTACGTCAGATGTATATTTAACATTACATTAATAGGATGGCCTACTACTACCCCTGATAGCACACGTACATCACGGAGACGTCTATTTGACGTCTGCATCTTCATCTGCAAGACGTATGATCGCTTCATCTGGAAAGCATCTGCTGTCTGATAGGAAAAGTCCTGTAGACGTATTACAGATCAGCAAACACTCTAAAAAAATACGTTTTGCAGATGTAAGTGCAGACGTCAAATAGACGTCTCTGTAATATGCAATACGTCTACAGGACGTTTCCTATCAGATGTCAAATAGACGTTTAGAAGATGTCTTTAAGATGTTTACGATTTAGAATTAATGTAAAACTGACATCTTAAAGACGTCTATCAGATGTTTGTACACAGCAGATGCTTTCCAGATCTTTAACAGACATCTTGCAGACGTACCTGTGCTATCTGCTAGGCTATTTGTAATATTCTGTAGTACATGTTATTGTGTGCACTGCAGTAACCTATGTGAGATATTATATCCCACAATGCAGTGCGCCTTATATTTCCAGCCACAAACAAACCGAAATAAAATATTAGCCATATTTATTTTTTTTATTATTATCTCTATTTTGGTTTTATAAAGTTAGATTAAAATAGCAAAGAAAATAGAACAAGATCAGACCAAACTGTACACATCAGGTGTCAGAAGTATATTTATCATTTCTAGGTTATGGTCTCTGTAGGTTTCGCGTGCGCAAGTGAATGTGTGACGTGAAATCTGGCCTCGTGACGTCAGAGCCGCTGCTGGTTATTATGCAATGACGTCAGCATCACCGCTTACGGAAAGAAATTCCTCACATAGTGACAGCACAAGAAATATGATCTGCGTTCAGTGTCCTACTTCTGGCCAAATGTGAGCCAAACCCGCACTGACATCACTTGAACAAGAGACAGAAATAGTGTTCACGCATCGACGCGATGGTTACCAGAACTGACGCCGAACTCGTAAAAGTCACGTTTATGTTGAGGAACGCTTGAACGATGCTTTTCCTTCCATCCTCCCGTTCAGCATCACGCGCTTCCAGAACGTTCCTGACGGAGGGCGGTGCCTCACAATCTCCTCAGGTGACTTACTAGACAGCATTTTTGGCGGCGTTATCATCATATATGCGATCATTTTGAGAACCAGCACAATCAACGCGGCTATAATGCCTGTAGCCTAATAAGTGCTGTCTAGGTAGGGCGCGCTAAAGTTTTGGAACACTACCTGACATATATAAAAGGTGGGCGACAGGATGGGACATCACGCCTAAAATAAACAAGCACTCAATTTAATCATTTTATGTCTGTTATTAGATCATATGCACGGTTATCTATAGTGCACACATTACGGGAATAAATGCAGGCAGAATAAAGAAAGAAAAACGCCCAAATAAATGGACCAAATGCAGAAACGTACTGTACTGTAGTTCGCAGATGCTCCCGTCCCGTCCTGTAGACCGCCGTTATGTAAGATGAAGCAGCCTGTACGGTGCAGGTCCGCAGTGAGGAGGAGATCCCCGTTCACACGCTTTTACCGGCAGAACCGACGCGTTTATTCACGCATCACCGAATCCCGACGATGACGCACTGAAGCCGTTCAAACGAGTCTGTCTCGTGCCTTTTGAGATTCTGTAAACAGCTGTCAGCTGACAATACATGTATATATAATATCTGTATACAAGTATGATTCTATAATACCCTTAAACTAAAATGCTTGGCACAAGGGTTATCATGTGGAGACAGCAATTCTGTTATTAAAAAAAAAAAAACTTTACAATTTACAAATTAATACCAATATTTCTGAAATTACACGTACAAAGTAAGTTTTCTTATATATACAGTATACACACACACACACACTACTGTGCAAAAGTCTTAGGCCATTAGTATTTTCACCACTCTTAAAAAAAGATGTTGAAAATAACATTTTTTTTAACAGATTTAACACAAAATGACACAAAAACGTGTTAAAATTGTCATAACACCAAAAAAACAAAAAAAGTTCAAAATCAACACACAATAAAAAAATAAATGTAAAACATCCTATATGAAAGTCAAAATGTTCCCTGTTTCTTCATGTAATCGCAGACGGACTGGATGATGGTGAGATCAGATCTGTGTGCAGCACTGGCTGCTGTCAGACTCCTTGTGCAAACAAAAACCTCACTAGATTATTACAATTCATGACAAAAGGAATGCTTGGAAATGTTAACTGCTGTTTCCTCCTGACACACTACAGCAAAAGATAGAAACCATTTGTTTTGTTGGTGAACATACTAATGGCCTACCAATGCACAGTACTATGTAAGTGTAAATATATATATATATATATACACACACACACACAAATTTACAATGGAGGGACAGTTCAAGTCAATAACCCAAAATACAGTAATTCTGGAAGAGAAAAAAAAGGTTTAGCAGTCTTATAAATTAGGAGACTCAGTCAATATGAAAATTTAAATATAACAAACAAAATGTAAAAATAAATATATATATATATATAAGACTTTAGTCTGTACAATTTTCCATTTATTATGCTGTAACAAGCAGCAGAAAGCCATATATACATGATCACACAAAAATATTCCATTCAGAGTGAGAAAGAAATTATTTACTAAACATTTTTGTTTTCTATAAAGTAAACTCTGTAGGACACAGCGAGTCTTTAATTAGCCTCAAAATATCACAATCCTCCAAAAAAACAGCAAAATTACAACACCAGCTGCTCACTGATCGCTCCACAGAGCTTCAGTGAGTCTTATGAGAAGTTTTAGCTGAGGTTTATAACACAAAGATATTGTTAACTGTTCCACCAGGACAGAAGACCCAGACCTGGTTCACTTACAGATCCCTGCAGAAGAAAACAAGAGACGTTTGTGGTCTTACTCTCAGTGCATGCAACTGAAAAGACAAACGGTGGACGGAACCAGTTATATACTCATAATAGCTATATGTAATGTCTAATATCCTCACTATGAGTGTGTACGGAGCCTCTTTCTGCTGCGCGCTGTCCTCCGCTCCTGCAGGTGGCGCTGTGGCTGCGCTGGGCGCTTCCTTCTCTGTGCTGGGGCCGGTGGGTGAGGTGTCGATGAAGACCTCGTCCACCACCCGGAAGCGGATCTCCTCGCCCCGGTCCATGAAGAGGTCGTGAGCGCCCTCGTCCGTCTCGTACTCCCACACCCACAGCTGCTCCGCCTCGTCGCTACGCCAACCGTGAAGGAACAGAGCATGCTGGGTAGATGATGCTACAAACACACTAATAACTAGCTAAACAAGAGTTTGATATTAATCGTTCAGGATACAATTTAGCCGGCTGCTGTAGCGACTCTGGTGGGATTATTATGTCGTCGAACAACCCGAGGCTCACTGTGGAAACGACACACACAAACTCATTACTCGCCTCATAACGACTGGTAACATGCACATCATTTTCCAATGATTTTTTAATTTCCAAATGGGTTCCGTGTTCTAAATAAGCCATTATTCTGATGCTCTTGATCTACTGGAGTATTAAGGCTCGACTGTGAATATGAACTGTAATGCAGATGTGCTCATTGTGTTATTTTAGTATCACTGAGATAATTCAATTCAATTCAAGTTTATTTGTATAGCGCTTTTCACGATACAAATCGTTGCAAAGCAGCTTTACAGAAAATTACGTTTCTACAATATTTAGTAGTAGCTTGTTAGTGGTGATGTCAAATTGATGTAGATATGGTAGAAATGTACGGTAAAACTCAGTTAATGACGTAATCAAACAGACGATGAAGATACTATTATAGTTTTTAATTAATATTTTTAATTATTTTTATCTTTAGGTTTTTTATTTTTAAATTAAGTTTTCGGTAATTCTGTTGTGGTTCTGTCATTTTTAATATTTAAATAATATTTTTTTAAATATATCTACGTAGTTAAATTTTTTTTTTCTTTCCGTTTTTAGTACACCAAGCTAGTGCTGGGCGGTATGACCGAAAATTTATATCACGGTATTTTTCAAAATTATACCGGTTTCACGGTACATGACGGTATTTTTTTTTTTCATGCATGACCGGGTGTTAACCATATTTTCTACTGATTGAGAGAGGAAATACTGCAGTATATTGACTTAGAATGCCCTATTTTACTGTCATGATGAGTGAATATTGTCCAAAAATACCACACTAAATAGTGACTAAACACGACCCCTTTTAATACATGTTAACCAGGAGTCACTCTCATTTATAATCGCGGCATCGTCTGATAAAATCAACATG